GTCTGCGCGGAGGCGGCTAGCGGCAGTTTGGGTCGACGACAGGATAGAGTGCAGGGGTTGTGGGGAGGGAGTTTGGTGTGGAGACTGGACAATGATCAATCACGTTATGTGATGGGCTGGTCCTCCGGCCCATAAATATTTGCTTGGCCCATTTGTGCCCATTTTTCCAGATCAAGGCCACATGTGTAGCTAACTTCATATGGTTTAGTTTAAATAGTACGATGCATTTTTATTAAGGGGTGAATTTATCACTAATCATATACAATTTAAAATCCAAATCTCGACTAATCCTTACTAATATTATAGGAATTCAAAACTAAATTAGTGCCACATAAGCACTTCTAATTATAATTGATAGAATTTTTGGTACACTTAATGCATCATCATTAAACATAAATTGCATTAATAACAATATTAAATTTCCAATCAATGCAATCTTTTGGTTTGCTTCTATCTCCAAATGTTTTTTTGATTCTCTCTCTTGCCTTATACTTTTATGAAAATAGGTAATAGATATTTGGAAGAGTTAATTGTTGGGAATTAGAGAATCTCTCTTTGAGTTGAACAATTGATCTTTTTTCTTGGAGGTCTATCACAGGCTAATTCCTTTGATTTGGCCTAACTATTTTCTTACCTATTATTGTTTGAATTTAATTAATGCATCAAACCCGGTTAATGAATGAGGACAATTCAAGGTATAATTATTTGAGTTATATTGAAGTTTGCGACTTTCATTATTTATCTCTGCAAATATTAGGTAAAACAACAGCAATACAAAGCGCAAGGAATTTGTAGCTCTCTACTAAATATAAATTGCCTTTATAAGACGTTTGGTTTGATGAATATATTATCTTTAAAAAATTAGCTGATAGTTAGTTTTGTTGTTGGTTTTGTTAAACTTTTCCCTGGTAAATTATAAATCAATGAACAAAAGATCTATAGATAGATAATTTAGGAAAATTAATTTTTTCATAAATATACGGGAGATAAAAATGTGTCAAACAAACACACCGCCCAACGGGCGGGTAAAAAGCTATTCAAATAATAAGAGTATCCACTATATCAGAAATTAGATGTTCATATACCAATACTTTTAGCTTTGAAAACTTGAATGGTAATTTATTAGTTGTATGACTTGTATCCAAATGTTCTTCTACTAGATTAGTTTTACTTAGATGGTTCTCAATGTATCTATGATCTTTTGTGAGGGAAAGTTAGTATGAAATTCAAAAAAAATCTTCTGCTAAATTGTTTTAAATAGACGGTTCAACTTATAATGAGTATGGGCATGGTTTTGATTATGTACCCGTTTCCTATGTGGGTATGGGTATGAGTATGGGTAAAACGCGAACTACATTGGGATTAGTTGTATTATAAAATACAAATGGACACCCCATTTGACTTGAAGTTAGGTTTCATTGATGTGCAGTAAATAGAAGTGACATGAATGAGTTATGACTTAGAAGATGTATCAAAGTCGGAGAATAATGATTTGCCTTATAGTCTTACTATATCTTATGGATTAATCGATGTGTTAGAATAACATGTTTTGAATCGTATTAAGAAGGATTGTCTCGTTGTCGACTTCAAAGGGAAAGGTAGAATAAATGTTGGTTCCTGGGTGATTTGAATCAACGGGTTGGGGGCCCTTTCACCCGAACCCGGTGAATGCCCAGGGAGTAAATAGTAGGAAAGACAACATTTTTTCTTGTTGCTTGACAACTGATATATATGTCATTCCAGGTTTCCATCACGTATCTTTTTGTCGACTAGGATTACATGAAAACTTGAGCCTAGTTACAAACAAAGAGAGGTTACTGTAATCTAACTGCTAAGTGTGCTAAGTCTAACTAACAATAAAAAATGGACCAATCATAAAGTGCCAACTGTCAAAATCAAAAGACTAATTACACTATTCAAACACTTGGTGTTTCTCTTCTTCTTTATCTACTTACTTACTATTGCTGAATTGGGTGAAAGGAAGCTCAATTCGGCTGACCCGCTTCTTTAACCTGAGCAGACTGTAGCATCTTCAGATTCTTCAACCATGGCGATGTCCACTACAGCTCTGCTTCATACATCTGTTTCCGACAGGTCCTTTGATCTCCACGATTCTCCTTCAGATCTTCATGTGTAATGATATCTTTCTACACTGATACATAACACAAATAGAAGGATGTATATCTTGTCGACCATATCACTCAAACTTACCATCTTCCGTCTGTGTGGAGAAAGGGAAAGATCCAACAAATATAAAGACTTCATAAATAAAGATTACGACAATTAAAATGTAAACAAATATCCTGGAGACTTTACCTAGTCGAATGTGTACCGAGGGTCCCACTCAGTACTCGACAATTTTGAGTAAAAAAAAAGAAAAGAAGTTGAAAAGAACAAAAGTTAACAGATAACTGGATAACAAAACAGAGAACAATCTCCACTCCTCTACTCCCCTTAGCCAGTCGGGCGGTCATGCTCCTCCTCTTCGACTCCTTGTTCCTGCCTCTCCCTCTCTGCTACTGCTTCCAGGGCATTGGTGACATCAACGACATGTTCTGCTGTGAGGGTTAGTCGACGACGTTTGGAGGAAGACTCAGCTGGCTCTGCTTCGTCGTCATCGCCATGAACCCTCAGCCATCGGAAGGTACCAGTCAAATCCACAATGCGAAAGACTGGAAGAGAGGTAGAATTATGTTCGAGGGTGTAGCCGGCCATATCCATGCCCACGCGCCCGAGAAATTTGGAGACAAGCATGGCATAAGGCAAAGTCGTCCACCAGTTGTCCTCCCGAGGAGCAGCACTCAACATGTTCAGACACATGAGAGAGGAGAGATTTACCTTCTGTCCGCGCAGAGCATTGACAAGGAAGAATAGGTCAAGCCTCTTAATGATGCCATTATTGCGATAGCGAGGCACGAAAAATTTCACCAGAAGCCAGTGCACCAGTCGAAGAGGATCCAGAACGCCTGAACATCAACATTGGAATTTGTGAGCTTGAGAAGTTCGTCATGAAAGATGAAGCCATGGGCTGCAAAGTCAAGCTTAGAACGAATGATGAGACCATCGGAGGGCAGATCAAGCTTCTGAGCAAAATCTTCATGTTGTAAATAGAGACGGCGCTCCAAAAATACAGAGCTCAGGCAGGAGTCGAAAGGACCATCAGCACGTAGGTTGCGGTAGAATTTCCGAACCACCAGCGGGTACTACCTGCTTGATTCGGGCTTGCATATGGAGAAGTAATCTTCCCAACCGAGATTGGTGATCAGGGTCTTCACTTCAGTAGGGAAAGGGGAGAGGGAAATGAACTCATACTCGCTGAGGATGGTGGTATTTCTCAAGAAGGAGTAGAACTCAGCCTGCCTTGTGACACTGCTGCAATCCAAGTTGAACAATGTGAGGAGTGACATTGGTCTTCTGAGATCAGGGTGGGTTTGGCCAGCCATTCTCGAAACTGAAAGTGAAGGACAAGAGAAGTGGATGAGAAGAAAGAGGAGTTACAGTGAGCGAATAAATAGAGGAAAGAAACGAGGGGGTTAACACTTTGTGACGGTTATCCGTGCGAATTTACTGTTCCTTTACACCATTTTTTATTTAATTTTCAACAGCACTAGTAAAGCAGACCATTAGTTAACGAAATTTAACCACAAAATCACTTGCTAGGTCGGCTAGAAATGAGGAGATAAAAAGAATGATCTCAATTAATGATGAGATATTGTGTCAGAACCCGCGGTTACCATGCGAAATTAACTCTGGTTTAATAAACTTAGATGGTTAACTTAACTTACTAATACTTATCTATTTAAACTGCCAATTTGAATTCGGATTCCACATCAATGGTATTTGTTGAATTGCAAATCCTATATGGCACTCAATATGCAATTTCAAAAGGGGTTGCACTAATGTAGTGGCCACTTGCAAAGATGCAAGCTTGTATTAAATGAAATTGAAGATGCAAGTCATATAGAAAAATAGAAAAATTAAAATTTATTTTTCTCTCTTGATTTATTTTTTTATTAGAAAGTCACTTAAACTCTCATATATGCAATTGCAAGTGAATTGCATTGATGTAGGTGCAATGAAATAAAAATGAGTTGGATTGCATAAAATTGAGAAAAACATAAAAATATCATATGCAATTGGAATTGCAATTTCATTGATGGAGATGCTTTATAGTTGCTTATTTTAGAAGATTAAGTTACCTAAGAGCATCCACATCAATGGTATTTGCCCAATTACAAATCCAACATGGCACTCAAAATACAAATGCAAAGGGAATTGAACCAATGTAGTGTGCAATTGCAAATATACAAGCTTGCATTAAATGAAATTTAAAACGCAAGCCACATAGATAAAATAAAAAATAACATATTTTTCTCACTCTTGATTTATTTATTTTATAATTCTAAATTCATTTAAACTGTCATATATGCAATTGCAAGTGAATTGTATTGAAATAGGAGCAATAAAATAAAGTGAATTGGATTGCATAAAGTTTGAAATGAAAATATAAAAATAATATAAAATTAGTTTTGCACTTTCATTGATTTGGATGCTCTAATGAGTAAAGATGGGACTTAAATGTTCCTTTCTAGTTGTACACTTAATATCCGTGCGAATTAATTGTTCATTTATAGAATTTTTTATTTAATTTTCAGCAGCACGCCCTTAGACTTTGACGCAAATAATGTGTGCCACAACATAAATTAGGCATGCCACAACCATAAGTAAGTATGCCATAAATTCTAAAATGAAACCCACTAGACTAGTAGGGTAATAATTAACAAAAATAAATAAATAGGGTTTGGGTGGATAATAGGGTAATAATTAACGAAAATAAATATGGTTTGGGTGGATACTAGGGGGAGATATGGATGCAGTGTTGGAAGTTACAACGCGCAGTTATCTAGCTTTACGTGGGAATTTAAAGCGCGCAGGTTTCCTACTTTTACGTCTCATAAACCTACCCAACACAAAGCCCTGAAACACCCGCTTTTTAATCCGTTCTTCCCTCCTTGATTATTAGCCTGACTGCTACGCGACTAGATTAGATTCTTCATATTCCCACTGGTGGCATTACCCTTGCTGAAGAACAAGAGATGGCTCTGCACAACTTCAGTCTCGATGAGAAGATGGATGATCTGTTTCGTTGTGCTGTCAATCCCAATGAAAGTATCCCCATCTCATCTCTCAAAAAGTTTCCTAGGGTCCTTCACTATTTTATCACCCATGTGTTTCTTCCTGGTAGCCACTCGTTTGATATCGTCACTCGGCTAGATCTGTGGGTGCTCGTCGATGCCTTGGCTGAACGCAGGCTGGACTATTCCCACTTGGTTTTTGGATGCATGGTCCGAGCAAGTAGCGAGGAATACATTGGGTGTTTGCTATTCGGTGGTTACATTTCCCTTTTGATGGCCAGCCTTCATATTCCGCTCAAAGGTTTTGTTTTAGAAGAAGAATCTGTCACTGTACCTAGCTTGAACATCCTGAGGAAGTATGCTATCCCCCGCAGGCCTGTTACAATGGCGGAAGAGGACATTCTCGCCACGGCTCAGGATGTTGCTGATCAAGTAGATAGAGGTCGCAAAAGGATCCATGGCGGGGAAGGGTATGGTGGGAAGCATTAGTGGGAGGGACCAAGGCTAAGTAATCGGCTTTTGTTTTTGTGTTTTCTGTTTCTACTTTTGTTACTTATGATTTTACATAACAACAGTATTTAAAGTATAAAATATTTTGTAGTCGTCTAGGCGATGATGAAAACTGTAATATGTTTTGGTGAATTGGCAATCAAATTTGTTCATGTTAAATTTTATATAGTTCGTCATCATTTTTAAATACAAATTGTCCGATAGAAATTTTTTAAATTTCGAGACCAAATTTTTTTTTGGCAAAAAATGTTTGCCCTAATTTTTCTTTACTACAACACTTGAAAACTATTGATCTAATTAAAATTCTAATTAATTCCCTAATTAAACCTCAATTTAACCCCAAAAATCATTAAAAAAAAAGCCAACGTGGCGGGCAGGGGTGTTCAAATGGTTACCATGGTTATAACCAAACCAAATAAGGCTAAATTCCAATAACCATGAAATACAATATCATAATCAAACCGTCCAAACTAATACAACAACCAAATTAACCAAACTAAAGTTTAATCGATTTGGTTAATTGGTTAACCATGAAATACATAGTTATAGTTGACCCTTAACAAAAATACATGCAACTAAGACAATTATCTTACGATTAGTATAAAAGTATTCACCTAACAAAAATTTATGACAATGGTATGGGTTAATGAATTGTTGTGTTTGTGTAAATTGACTTAGTCTCTTAGCAATAATCATAGGCTGGAAATGACCTTCCTTTCAAGTTTTCATTCATCATAATGTATGAAATTTATCTAAATTAGGCGTCCATATGTTGTAGTCTAGACTTTACATATACAAATATATACTATATGAGCAATATTGAGTTTTATATTTTATGAGTCTAAAAGGGATGAACGTTAACTCTTGAGTGGTTATGCAAAGTATTATTTGTATATAATATATGTTAGATATATGACTAATTACTTAACTGGTTAATTTGGTTTGATTGGTTAGGAGTGTCTGAAACCAAACCACCTAAACCAAACAAGCTAAGAACTTTAACCAAACCAAACCAATTATCCAAATTAACCAAACCAAATTATCCAAATAGTACCGGTTAAAACGGTTACCACGGTAACCAAACCGTTTGAACACCCCTAGTGGCGGGCTGGTGGTTGTCCAACCCACCAGCACACCCTTCCCCATTTCCATATCCAAATTTGGGGATCTATTTGGATATTGTCCCCAAATATAGATACGCTCCCCCCATTTATAGAGTCTCCATGGGAGCCAACTTTCCCCATTTATAGACAATGCCCCATTTATAGGGTCTCCATTAGACTCAGCCTTATCAATGATAATTAGATAAGTAGAATTTATAATAATTATGTTCTATATTTTAAATTGCTAAAATGATGTAAGCTTTATAATAATTTGTTCATGTTAATTATTGTATTAAAGGTGATTTGACTCTATGTTATATTTTATTGATGTCAAATTAGAGATATCACTTTCGAATGTAATGTCAAATTACATGAGGGTATAATTAGGGGGTAGATTATATGGTTGCCAAAATACCCCTAAAGTGATATGCAATATAGAAGAGCCAAAGTTGGTCCATTTGACTCTATGTTATATTTTATTGATGTGGAGTAAATAGAGGTGATATTAAAGAACTTATGAAGTGACGTTGTAAAAGTGGTTGAGGTCACAACTAGGGCCACGTATGAAAGAGTTAAAGTATTTCATTGTTTCTATGATATTTTAGACATTAGACAAGTGATTTATTGTATTATAAAATACAAATGGACCCACCATTTGACTTGAAGGAGGATTTCATTGATGTGTAGTAAATAGAGTGATATGAATGAACTTATGAAATAAAGTATTAAAAGTGGTTGAGGTTGCAACCAGGGTCACATATGAAATAGTTAGCTTTCATCGCAAGACCATCTCCCTCCCTAAATGTGGTTAACAATTTTCTAAACGTGGAACCCCACTATGGCAATTGCTAGTATCTCCATCCCAACTTTTAGCAATTGCTAAAGGTGAGGTGGAGCATAGGTGACAAAGATTTAGCAATGGCTAGGGATGGAGGAGTTCCTTCTAAACTAGCAAGACTACTAAATTAGCAATTCTTCTAGAAATGGCACATAGATAATTATTTTCTTTTTCTATTTTCTTGCTTATTAACTTTTCAATTGATAAGTGTTAGTGCAGATTTGAAATAGTAAATGAGACCCACTTTGGCAATTGCTACCACATTTGAGGAATGTTGATGAGTAGAAATTGCTAGGTTAAGAATTGCTAGATTTAATGATGTGGCGGTGAGGACCATGTTTAGAAATTGCTAACTAATTTTAGGGATGGAGATGGTTTTAACACATTTTAGGGATGTTGATGAGTAGAACTTGATAGGTTAAGGATTGCTAGAAGTTTTTGCTACCTAAGCTCTACCTCACCTTTAGCAATTGCTAAAAGTTGGGGATAAAGATGCAACTTTTCCTCAATGGCGAGGGCAAAGGCTTACGAGGTCGACTATATAAACAAAGTGGCTCTCTCTAACCCAAAAAAATAGATGTAAGCCAACCCTCCGCCTTCCTCCTCCCATCTACTTTATTTTCTCCCCCATTCCCTCTGCCTTCCTCCTCCCATTTACTATATACTCTCCCCCATTCTTCGTGTGACTGAAACCAGTAACGAAAATAAGAAAGATGCAGACCCTGAGGAGGTGTAGATTGCCGCCGAAGGATAATTACTATTGCTTTCGTTGCACTGACCCATTATGACTTCCGCCCACATTAATCTTCTTCATGCAATATTGGGTCCCACCTCAAACGGAGGTGATAACCCTAAACCCTAACCTAATCATCAAAGGTACAAATAGATGTTGGCCCAAAAGTCGTTTAACAGTGTCCTCGTTTTATTGTCTTGTTTGCTCTGGATTTAGCTACTCTCGAGGCACAATGGGAAGTCGCAATTTGTAGGACGTCTAAGTATAGCACAACATTTCAACAGATGTAGTTAATGTTTCCATAACGAATGTTATAGAAATTTACTTCATCTATTGAAAATATTGTGCTCCATTGACACCTACATTTAGTTGGACTTCCCCAATGCAAGTACCGTAGGTTGCTTTTAACTCTCCAAGCCCTAAGGAGGTACTTGGCACAATCCATGACGGTATAAGGCTGCACGACTTGGGTAATGGTGGGATTTTTGGTTTGGTCCACAAGATTGAACTCATTATGTAAGCTATGATCATTAGTGTTAACAATCAATTTTGGCCACAACAATTATTGTCGAACCAGTACCTCGTGTGGTGCTTGTCTAGTTCTCCTTATGTAATTTGCAAATTTTCTATTTCTTAACAGCGGTGCTCCTGTAAATCACTAATTATAGTGATATTTGTGGTTATATTAGATATTTGTGGTTAATAATGGTGCTCCTGTTATAACTTTTGTCCTTGGCAACTTTCTTCCTTTTCTGAAAAATTCAAAACTGTCAAGTATTGAGTTGGAGCCTCAGTACTCAGTACACATGTGATCAGGCCAAGTCTCCAGGATATTTTGTTTAACTACGATTGATCCGTTCGAGACCTAGTGAAAATTAAATACATTTAGAAAAATCCGTCAAATTTGATAACTAACCCCACATTCGTTTAGAAAATTTAATAAATTTATTAAACTTTCAACCCTAGATGGAATGATCTAGTGCTTGACCCATTAACCCCACATGCATTAAGCCCACGAGAGCCGTAATTCGATCCGAGATCATATTGCAGTATTCTAAACCCAAAAGGTAGGTTATTTCACCAACACAAGTTAAGATAACTATGAACCCACAATTCGATTGAAATTCCCTCTTGGTCATCTTCTTCCTCCGGCCAAAACGATCCCAGAACGGAATACACCTACCTGAAACATGAACAAAAAACTAAATAAATAAAGGGGCAAGACAATAGACATGTGGCGTGCTTTTATAAGCATGTGGTTTGCTCTACGTTACTTGTGGCATACAATAATAAACTTCTGGTGTGCGCTATTGGATATGTGGTGGCCTTTAACAAACTTATGGAGTGCGTATCTCAACTTGTGGTCTGCTTTGTACAATCGTGTTGGAAAATTATACCTTCACCGAATTTTTTCTCCAATAAGTCCAGTTCTGTTGTCAGAGCAATGCAATTACACTATACATTCGCCAACCTTGATGAGACATGCTCCTGAGACAGGGAAATTTCTCATTAACTCGATTTCCATTACAAGTGGTTGATTAGGACACTTCCCTGCCCCAGTAGCACTCCCCATCAACAGACGAAGATAGGAGAGAAGGACCAGGAATAGAGGGTAGTTGGTAGATTGATTCGCCAAACTTGATGAGACATGCTCCAGGGACGGGAAAATTTCTCATTAACTTGATTGCCATAACAATCGGTCGATTATGACACTTCCCTCCTCTAGAGCACTCCCCATCAACAGACGAAGAAAGGAGACCACCTCACTACTTGAGAAGCTAGCGGACCACCTCACAAACACAAAGATTTAAACCCTCTCTCTGCCTCCTCTCTTGTGCGATGAGGAGCGCCAGATCCAATTACATCTCACGTTTATTAAGATTTAAACCCTAGTTGGAATGGTTTATCGCATGGCCCATTAACCCTGCATGCATTAAGCCCACGAGAGTCGTAATTGGATCCAAGATCATATTGCAGTATTCTAAACCCAATAGGGTAGGTTATTTCACACATATAAGTTAAGATAACTTGCAGCCACAATTCGATTGAAATTCCCTCCTTGTCATCTTCTTCCTCCGGCCGAAATGATCCCAAAACGGACTACACCTACTTGGAACATGAACGAAAAACTAAATAAATAAAGGTGCAATACAATAGACTTATGGCGTGCTTTTATAAACATGTGGTTTGCTCTATCTTACTTGTGGCATACAATAATAAACTTGTGGTGTACGTTATTGGTCATGTGGTGTGCTTTAATGAACTTATGGCGTGCGTACCACAAAGAGAGGCCCCTGGTGTACCATGGCCCTCGATTTGGGCCAAGTGCTTTGGTCGGAGATGGTGAATGATTGAGTGAATTGAGGGACGAAAGAAGAATACTTTGTGCATTATCATTGCTCAGATGGAATTCAACAGAGAACGAGGGTTGTGAGTACAAAGTTCTGGACCGTATTAGCTAGAACGAGGGTCGTTTAGCTAGA